TTCATAGCTAGAACGTTCTGAATATATGATAAACAATCACTTTGCACTTTTTTCTTCACATTTTGCCAACAATTTGTTTTCAAAATTTCAGTTACAAGAACGCAAAGAAGCGAAGTAGTTTGGTCGATTAGCTGTCAAGATGTTGGCGCCAAATAGCAGGAAGGTTCAAAGCAAAATGTCAAAGGACTTGTCAGGAAATGTTTCACCTATTCTTACCACCTGATCCGTATGTCATTATTGTAATGTGAATGCTATTGATGGCCTGATTATTTGCACTATGCTACCACTGAAACCTTGGACGTGGAGTTGGTGTGGTGGATTGTGGCATGGGATGAAAAACCAAAGAGTTGAATTCAAATTCTAGACAAGTTCATTACATTCACTTATGTGCAAAAATAGCCTTGGGGGGAAAGGCATGTATCCATCGCTTCCTCACCAGTTCTGGCTTAAATAAGTAGAACTGTTATCTGTAAAACATTATTATCAGTTATTGTTCTTTCCAGTGATGATAGTGTCTTCCTTAACTTTTTGTTTGAAGTAGTGTGTAAAATCAGTTTCTCAGGTCCAGTTATTGTTATAAAATAAAATAAGACATATCTCAGCTGATTTACAGGCAAATACTCAAGAGCGAGAACCGGATATGAACGGGACAAAGCCCCATCACAAAATGACCATTATCTTTCTTTACAAATGTTCCCGACACACATGTTCCAGTCGAAAAATAAAATAATAAAGTGCTCTATTTTTCGTCCAATAAAAATGCTTCCCTCCTAATTATACTCGCTTCATTTCTCGAGCCTGTTAGGCCATAAAAAAAAAAACGCTATAAAAGGGGTCACACGGAAGTTCAACGGGTAGTCAACAGGTGGCCACAAAGGAGACCTGTCACTGTCAGGCCGAGCGTTCAGCAGGAGAGCACCAACCACCGTCAACATTTGTGAACTACTATGAGAGATTGACCTAGATCCGAAAGCCGGCTTATGAACTTTACCACACCAAGGTAACTGTCCCAAACCCTCACGTTCCTGTTGAAATAAACCACATTAATCTATTTCTACTGTTGTCGTATTTCTTTCTTGCAACCATACGCTTGTATATTGCTGCTTCCAGTATTGATGGGAGGGCTTCCTTCCTAACTTTTTGTTTGAAGTAGTGTGGAAAATCAGTTTCTCAGGTTCAGTATTTGTTATTGCTGCTTCCAGTATTGGTGGAGATTTCCTTCCTAACCTTTTATTCGAAGTAGTGTGGAAAATAGGTTTCTCAAGTCTAGCATTTTTTCAGTATTGATGGAGATTTCCTTCCTAACCTTTTATTTGGAGTAGTGTGGAACATCAACATTGAGATTATGTCCTTATTTTCACTTTGAATTATAGCTGAAGTGAGAGCAGGAAAAGCCAGGAATTGCGGGGGCACTTTGTTTACTCATATCCAGAAATGGCATGTCATACAAAGGATCTGAAAAGCAGTAGACTTCAAATATTTTGTGGAAAAACCTAAGGAAACATTGATACCAAATACTGAACCTAAGTCAGAAAATAGCCAAGAACTACGAATTCTGCCAATAGATGAAAAAACAAATAGTAATTGTTGAAATATATTGCTGGACTTAACAATGGAAAATCACAGAGGGTACATTATTTTTGTTGTGGTTGACAACAATCATTATGCTCCTGTTTCTTCGCAGTCTCACAGGATCAAGAGATTTGAGAAAAGTATGCAGGCAGCAGAGACTTGCTATGTTTGATGCCATCAGGTCCAAGAAGATTTTGTTTCTTGGTTTATTCTTCTGATAGTACAACCTCTGCTTCGACTATTTGAACCATTTCCTCTCCATTTTCTACCACAATAATATTTTTGCTGATTTTGGTGGCCTGAGCTATACATTTCAAAATTCCGTACACCACAATTCCGTACCACACTTGATTAGTATCCACCTTGAACAGAGAACCCAACTTTTCATACAATAATTTAATTCCTTTGTCTGTATTTAATTTATCAGAACCCATTTCTAGCACTGCTTCTCTGGGTTTACCACTTAAACTAAAACTAACCTTTTTCTTAGATATAATTCTATTTTTTTTACCTGAGTACGACAGAATGCACTCTGTTATCTGCCCAGCTATATAATTCCTACATAAAAGAGCTGAGTTAACATTTGGGAGCAAACGTCAAATGTGGCAGATTGACCACCTCACTCAAGATTTTAGTGGCATATGCATATTTTGAGACCAGAGTGAATGAAGTAGATAAATGAAAATGAATTTGGGGATACAGAAAGTTGCGGAAAGTATAACAGAAAATAAAAGAAAATGGTTAATTAGAAAGTATAAAAGACACTTGAAATTGGTGAGAGTCAATATCTGTATTCCTGATTTGAAAGGGTGTGTATGTGACAGAAATTTTGATGACCATGGCTTACAACCAATTCATAATATAATGTGCACAAGTTCTATTGTGAAATCATCAATGATCATATTCTGAGATCTAGAATTCCTTTTAAAATTTCTGTATATCATGAGAGCCACTTCATTCTTAATAGTCCAAATTTTCATACAATAATTTAATTCCTTACTCTGTATTTATCAGGGTCCATTTCTAGCAGCACCTCTCTGGCTTTACAGATTTGTAAAAAAAGAAAGAAAAAGGTTTAGTAAACCATTTATCTCCATTTCCCAGAACTTTAACAGCAGGAGAACGAGCCTATTTTTTAAGGAAAATAGGCTCTTGAAATTAAAATATTATTAGTCGCTATTGTTCTTTCACTAAACTGTGTTCTGCTGCCGGAAGTGTTTAACCTGTGAGATTGTCTAGTAGTGATTTCAGAGGCAAAGAACTTATGGAAAAGTATGGGCTCATTTTTAATTAGCATGTGGTACAGGGTAATTCAATAATATTTGTTAGTCAGGGATGTTCAATCCTTGAGAGCAGAGTTAACTAACATTTTTACAGAACAGCCATGTATACCATCTGATCAATCATTAAAACATGCATTAATCTTACATCTTGAGGAATAAATCAAGCATCTGTTTTTCATCTGTAAAAGAACTGTGCTGTATTCTGAATCAGAGATATTTTGACATAAGAATTAGCCAGCCTGTTGGGCTTGGTAATATAAGAGGTAATGATAAACAGAAAACATGGCTAACTTGGTTCAAAGAAGGCCAAATAAATAACCACTCAGGTTGGTTGTATGATGTGGATTTATTTTTTCCAATGGCATGTCTCTTTGTAGAATCTATAATAGTCAAATTGCAAACTTTTTCAGTTTTAGTTAATGTCTACATTTGGTCCATTTTGCTTTCTGAATGGGATGCCTAATTTCATGAGCAAAATAATGTTTCTTAAAATTTTTTTCTTCACTCACATTTTCTCTCTTTTTTTTTTTTTTTTTTTTTTTACAGTAAGATAGAGATGAGATAGAGGGTTGCATTAAGAAGTAGTTTATATGGATAGGAGAGGAAGGTAATTGTTGGTTTTAGACTTGAACAGGTTAATATTGTAGTGACCAGGGAAACATCTTGGGAGTCTGTTCCATAGGGCAGGGGTTTGCAAAAAGCTGTTTGAGTGGATCTTAGTTCTCACCAATGGAATATAGAGGGAATATGTGTGGTTTTCTACTCAGTAAGTAGTGTGGTGGGTCCGAGCTGTGAAGTTCAGACCTGGTAGAACCATAAGATTGAGTTCATCTGAGCACTTTTCATGGTAGTAGCAATAGGGCAGTGAGGGACTTGTTATATTCTGCCTGTGAGAGAGAGATTGGAGTGTGGAAAATAATTTTTCTCCAATAAGGACTCTGAGACACTTTTGAACTCTATCAAAACTAGAAAGTAAGAACTAGGTAGATGCTGTGCAAATATAGAACTACTGCATTTATGGCCTCATCAGGCTCTTGTAAATGTAGAGGATAGCATGAGGAGTCAGTTACTGGATTGGTACAGGGATCCAATAATTTTACCTGCATCTTTAGTGATGGATACTATTATATTCTGTGCTAATAGGAATATATACTTGACAAACACAGTGGATAAGATAAGTAAAGGTTTATTGTAAAAACCAGTACAATAAGAATAAAGGTAACAGTCATGCACAAGGTCGTTGCAAGTCAATCCAGTAGTGAGTGCTACTATTAGAAGGTCGGTAGTTCTTGCATAAGTCTGAGTTGTACTCAACAGATCCCGGCTAGAATATTTAGCTACCCATCCACGTGGGCTGCATATGGCACAAGGCCGGTTTAACATGGGTTCTCTGAGCCTGTAGGCTCGGCCAAAAATATTCCGTTTTGAACCCACATAAACGGGTTCAGGGTCAGTCTACCTCCCCGAACGAGACTCTGCCCGAAGGCAGAAAGTTTGACTGTTTAGCTGGAACAGGTCACAGCTAGAATATTTAGCTATTGCACCAACCCCCCCCACCACTAACACCATGAGGGCTGCCCTTCAGCAGAGCCTCATCCGGGCACCTCTCCACCCGAAGGCAGAGAGTTCAGCTGGAACAGGTCGCAGCTAGCCTCTGTAGTCCGTTGACTTACAGATTCTTATAGGCAGTTACTACCTATAGTGTAGTCACTCATGGGGGTGACAGGTTATTACATCAGATACATAACCAAATGTATAAAGAATAATGAAATACCTTTTTGTAATTTTTCCTTGTAGGTAATGTTTTCATCATTTTAAATCATTGGCCATTTTCACCGAAGAATATCATGGATAAAAGAATTGATGCTGTGCTGTATTCTGAATCTGAGATAGTTTGACATAAGAAGGATGACAATTCACCTGTTAGGCTCAGTAAAATAGGCAGTAATGATAAACAGTAAACATGGCTACCTTGGTTCAAAGAAGGTACAAATAAATAACCACTCAGGTTGGTTGTATGATGGGGATTTATTTTTTCCATTTTTTTTTAAATTTTTGCACATAAATGAATATAACAAACCCAACTAGAAGTTGATCTTGGCTCTCTGATTAACAATTATCCATTACACCAGCTGCACATTCAAGCTTACAGCACCTGCTATTCCCAAGTGGTCACCCATTTAGGTACTGACCAGGTTCGACATTGCTTAACTTCGGTGATTGCATAGGAAATAGTGTTTCAACATGATGTGTCTGTAGGCCCTAAACATTCAGCCATGTTCCCATCATAGTACAGCACATACTTACAAATTATATAAACGCTTACATATATGCTTGAATACCTTGTAAAAGATATATTATTACACTTATTTACAAATATACACATCTGCTTGCCTATATATTTAATGTTACATATGTAGATCTATATAATATATATATATCCTTTCCAGCTGCAAGTTTTCTTTCAAGCATGTTTCATTGATTTTAATTTGAGAAGTTTTAACAATTACTCTGATTTTGTTTTCATAATTTTAAACAGCAGAAGATTTTTATTAATCAATTCTGTTAATTTCAAAGGTCTATGCATTTAGATTAGTATAACATGTTGTTGGCAAAACTCATGAGTAATGTGTGGGAGTATTTTCCTTAGGTTCTCAATGGAGGAGGCTGAAATTAAAAATAATTACGTGGGAGTAAACAGATTTTAATTTAAATATACAAACAATTATTCTGTGTGCATTGTAAAGCTGAAATGTGCGTGTGTATTCAAAATGTCTCAGCTCAATGCAAAACAACCTTCAGTATGTTGTTAAATGGGGCAAAGGATGGCTTGTTAATTTTAACGCCTCCAAAACTAAACTGCTCTCTATTAATTGTCTGAGAGACCCCATTCTACCTTCCATCAGCATGGCTGATGCTAACCTCCAGCAGAGTGACTCGTTGCACCTTCTTGGGATATTGTTCTTGGTTGATATGAATTAGAAAGATTTTATTAAATCTATTGCTTGGTCAGCTCCTAAGAAAGTTGTGCTAGATGATTTTTCTCTCCAGAATCTATCTTACATATCTGTAAGCCTACCATTCCTTCATACTTAGAATATTGCTGCCACATATAGTCTGGTGCTACTGCTATATATCTAGAGGTCCTTAATAAAATCCAAAGAAGAATCAGCAATATTATTGGTCCTGATCTGGTGTCTTGGCTTTAATCACTTCCCACTGCTGTAAAGTTACTTCACTGTGCTTTTTCTGTAAGTACTTTCATAGTAATTATTCGGATAAGTACCTAGATTTTATGAATTTAAGCACAATACTAGATTGGCAATTTACAGTTGAATTGGCTTGGTGTAACTGTAGGTTATATGCTAACAGTTTCTTTTCACACACTTCTTTCTTGTGGAACACCCTTCCGGCTCATACTTTCCAGTTAAATTTGATCTTCAAAAAATTAAATGCAATGTCAATTGTTATCTACTGTCTTCCTTATTACTCTTCTTTTGTTCTTGTGCCATAGTAATGTTTATGGAGTAAATCTGATTAAAAAAAATATATATAATGTGTATTTCATCAGTAAGAATTCTCTCAAACTTGTTTTGTTAAGTAATAAGGACAAGTTCTATCAATTTTTTTAAATGAAATCTTTTAAATTTATGAATAAGTTGTTTTGTGTTATCGGTAAATTTGACCAAAATTCATGTTAATTTTTATTTTATATTATTTTTTTTCCCCCTGAATACTTTTGAATGTTGCTACATTCATTTTCCAGGATTGTTCCATGTATAGTTATGCAACTGGCTGTTAATTCTAGTGTTTTCATGTTGATAGAACCAATTTCAAGTCACTCAATGTGATGTCATATAAATGATCAAACTGAAATTTTTGTGTCTGTTTATTTTTTTATTTAAACTTGAAAGATTTCATGAGAAAATTGATAAGAAGAACTTGTCCATATTATTTAACAAAATGTGTTTGAGAAAATATCTGTCTATATGAAAACCATACCACGGATTGACCCAAGCCTTGTGAGTGAAATTGGGTAGACATAACTTTTGAGGTCCGTCGATAGTTGTGCTAGCACAAAGCCACAAGTCATCGTGGCTGAGGGCTTGTGCGTGCTGGCATTGTTCAAATTGTTGATCACACTAGATAACATGCTCTCTCCTAGAAACTGTAACTAAGGTCTGCTCAGTATAGTTGCAGTATAAACCACAGGTGGGCTCTGTGGGTTTTGAGCAAACAAAAATGTGCCCAAGTCAGTGTCTGCAATAGGGATTGGGTAGGCACTCTAGTAGACGGGTATCCTCGAATATGAGTGGCCAGCTATTATATATATAGATATGAGGAGGTTGTAAAAAGTGTAGTTATCTTTCCTTCATATCTTTATAAAGATATGAAGGAAAGATAACTTTTAAGCTTCGTCTTAAAGAGGTTAAGATTATAGTGATCAAGGAAGCATCTTCTCAGGAGTCTGTTCCAAAAAGTATGAGTTCTTGCAAAGAAGCTGTCTGAATAGAACTTCCTCCTTATTAATGGAATATGAAGGGAATGGAGATGACTCATTGTAGTGTACATGGTATAGTGGAACTTAGCTGTGAAGGCCTGAACTAATGAACATAGCTTGACAGAATATTTTCTATGGAAATAGCAATAGTGGTAAGAGACTTGCAACATTTTGTCTATGGGATAGGAGCTGTAGGGTGGTAACATAATGGAGTACTTTCTCTCTTGCCTTCTCCATGGTTTTGAAGTTGTTGATCACTTCCTATACTGGCTGCTAGGCTAGAGAACCCCGCCTACAATGCGAAACTTGGGAAAGTAATTCATGATGTGCTATAATGGCTGGCCGCTTGTATCTGAGTATCCTTGTCTTTTAGGACAGTTAGTGGTAAGAGGCTTGCAATTAGATTTATATATTCACTCTGTGTCTTTTCTATAAATACTTTCATGGCAATTGTTCAGATGAGCTCTTTGATATGGTTTCCTAGATGTGTTGAATTTAAGTGCAACACTAGACTGGTGGTGAGATCTCATCAATTTACAGTTGAGCTAGCTAGATGTAGCCATAACTTCTATGCTAGCAGTTTCTTTTTTTGTACTTCTCACTTGTGGAACTCCCTTCTGGCTCCATGCTCCCCAGCCGACTTTAATCTGCAAATATTGAAATGCAATGTCAGTTGCTATCTACTTTTCTCCTGATTACTCCTTTCTCTTTCTGCTCATTACTAATATTTCTGTTTCTAATTCCCACATGCCCCATAATCTCTTGCGTCTTGGTGGCAGTACTGCCTTACTTCAGGTGACTGATTAAAATAAAAAATTTAATAAGGAAAATGGTAAATAATTATTGTCAGGTGTTGAAAAAAAAAAAGGGCTGACTGGGCAAGTTTAAAACTGAATCTTAGAAGTAGGAAATTACTCAAATCGCAGATAATGTCCAGTCTATGCATACATACAGCATTAGTGTTGTTTTTTTTATCCAAAATGGGACTTAGAAATTAACTAAGATTTCATGATCCATAGCAATCTCAGGCAGTCGACATTGACAGCCATCCATAATGACTTAGAGGAAATTTATGTTTGGTTTGTGACAAAGTATGTGGGTCAGTAGCAGGTCTGAAGAGTTACATGGGTGTGCAAAAGGACCAGATAAACACTATGAACACATCCAAGTTTCAATTCTGTCAAATAGGCAGTAAATTGAAGTAAAGCTTTTGAGTTGTATTTACAGCTAGTAAATCAAAGATTGAAGAGATCCTTCTTCTGGTAAGTAGTGGATAGCACACACACAAACACGCACACTTTCTCTCTCTCTTTCCAAAGACATGCTTGATGAACAATAAAGTGCTTGCTTCTCATGTTAATAGTTTTATTAGAGCTACTTGAGTGAGTCAGCTTCCTTGTCCAACCTCAAATATATACTTTCCACTGTATTAAAATCGTATTTCTTCGTTTAAATATATTTGCAACCTTTCTAAGCAGAAAAGATTTATCACATATTGAAAATCTTGATTTGAACAATGCTTGCTTACCTAAATGAAATTTAGTGCCATGTCTAAGTTCTGATTAAAGAAAGCTGAATATATGATACAAATAAGAAATGCCACAACACAATATTTGTCAGCACTAAATCACTAATTGCTTTTGATTAAAATCAACTTTCATTAGCGTTACTTTCTTATTTTTTTTAAATGCCACAGTTGTTAATGGAAGTCAAGGTGGATGAAAGGTTAACAGTGCAAAATGGCAAATTAACTTCGGAATTGAACTGAAACAGTTTCTGCACATTTTGCACGAATGCCTTTGGAAAAGGTATAGATTCATATCTACTTCCTCCAGCTATGGTTTTAATAAAACAAAGCACTGGGACCTTTAACTTTGGTTGGCATATGGCTTTGAAGGAAAACAGTTGAGAATGCAAGACTTTGGGAAAGGCAGCAGGAAACCACTTCCATGAAGACTGTTGATAATGCAAAATAAATGAAAAGAGAAATTAAAGGAAAGGTAAGATTGTCCTCATCTTTGTTGGAACAACAAAAATGAGGACAATCTTACCTTTCCTTTTAGTTTGAGTGTAATTTATTTAAATAATGATAATTTCTTATTTACACTATTTATATTTGGACTATTGTCCTCATATTTGTTATTTTTATCATAACATTTTGGATGTTGTACCATCCAGCCTTCCTCAGGTATATATTGACCTGGATAACTTACAGGGAATTCTGATGTGAACTCCAGTAGGCCTAGAATTGGTAGGCGTAGAATTTTGACAACCATGTTGCACAGCTTCAAGGCTTTTCAGATTTTAATCCCCTGGGTATTCTTGAAACAGAGACCAGCCAGTGAATTCACAATCAAAACTACTTAGTGAAGGCCATTATCATAGAACTCATGGTTGATATGAATGGGAACCACTTTATCTGGGCATGCAGTCACCTCCTCTACACTGACAAGAAGCCAACCTCAAAGCTGAGATTGGTTTTATTATATAAGTATTTTTTATAAGTTGAATAAGTTGCCCAATACTTTTCAAAATATTGATTTTTTTTTTTTTAATGACTGTCTCTGTTATTTTTTTATTTATTTATTTTTTGAGGAAACTGGAATAAAGATCTTGGGTATGACCTAAAACTACACCTGGCAATGGATTCATGACTAAGGGATGGAATCAGGGTACCCTGAACTATTGTTACCCACAGATGATCTGTTTGCCCACTTACCAGGGTTACAGTTATCTATCTTTA